TTTTTAAACATTAACTCTGAGAGTATATTGTATTTAATGAATTTCTTGAAATTGCTCTTACTTATATATTGAACATAAGATAAAAACAAGATTTTCTTGCAAGCACGATAAAGTCAAGAAGATTTGGACAAAAAGATAAGTATAATAAATCTCCCATTTAATTCGTATCTTTGACAATTAGTAGTTGTGCAATATGTCAAGATTTCTTGTTTGCTACAGTGCTAGCTAGTACATGTCCAAGATTCACAAATCCACAGTTTCATGCAAATTTTTCTCAATATATATATGGCACCTTCATTCATAAGATTATATTATACAGTCATATATCTTTCTTAAATTTCATTCTTTATTTTCTCTCTCTAAAAATGGCTAGTCCTTGTCTAATTCCTGCACATTTTATTGTCTTCTTCATCGTAAGTCGGTTAATGTCCATTATAGGGAAGTTTAGGCGATCAAACAATTCACAGCTTGCTTTTGAAATCGACTCCCTTGGTGTCAGGGCTAAGCTTCGCTATGATCTTGAAGCCATTGGACTCTCCTCGTCCGACTATGGAAACATCGTTCAAGAAATTCCTTCAGCAGTTCTTTTTCCTACATCCATTGACGATATTATGGAGCTTATCAAATTTTCTAACGAATGTCCCCTCCCATTTAACGTGGCAGCACGGGGCCATGGACATTCTACTAGAGGACAGGCCATGGCACATAATGGAGTGGTGGTGAATATGCTTTCTTTAGAGAAACAGTGTAAAAATGGGAATAGAATTAAGGTTTCTACATCCGGAAATTATGCAGATGTTGGTGGTGAACAGCTGTGGATTGATGTATTGAATGCCACCCTACAACACGGCCTTGCACCTGTTTCATGGACTGACTATTTATACCTAACTGTTGGGGGTACGCTTTCCAATGCTGGAATCAGTGGGCAAACCTTCCTCTATGGTCCTCAGATTAGCAATGTTCTTGAAATGGATGTTATCACAGGTGCATTTTAGATTTTTAAAAAAAATATATATGGGTTTTGGTTTCACTTCTTGTATCAGCTATAGCTTTTGGAATAAGGGGATGCATCCCTACATCACCTAGATGGTAGAATACTATTCAAAATTGGATTGTGATTTCTAGGCACTTGGAAGATCTTCTAGGTAGGATTCACTTGATCTGAACTTTGTCAAATTAGTATATACCTGCATGTGTTAGGTACATAGTATCCATAGCATTACATATTGACATTCGTGACTATATATGTATATCTATGATGTACCGACATTGGACACGTATGTCCGATACGATACATGTAGTATACACCAACACATGACTTTTAAAAGAAGTAGTGACCGACACGTCGTCAACATGTTAATTAAATTCTTCATTTTGTATAGTTAAATTTAGTTTTATACTTCTTATTTTTCTTATTGAAAAATTTTAAATTTGAGAACATATTTATTATTCATTAATAACTTTGAATTAAAAATATATGCACGAATATGGTCACTTTATTAAGATATGACTTTTTGACATTTGTCTGGTTTAGGTAAAGGGGACTTCATGACTTGCTCCAGAGACAAGAACTCAGAATTATTTTATGCAGTTCTAGGAGGTCTGGGGCAGTTTGGTATCATAACTAGCGCAAGAATTCTCCTAGCAAAAGCACCAAAAAGGGTGAGTACAAAGAGGTTAATACTTTGTCATAATCGAAAAGTTTACTAATAGTTCATAGGTCTGTGTGGCATGAGATATTTGTGCGTACAGTCTACACTGAAATATTGAATCCTAGGCCAGGGTACTATACAAACCAACCTAGTTCGTCACTTCATGTTATTTGCAATTCCACTAAATTAGTATGGTGCCCAAGCATGTAAAATTCCTAATTCAAATCTTATAAAAATTGTATATGTTACTCCGTTTATGAAATAACCAATTTGACTTGTACGTGAAGAGCGTGTTGAAGAAGTAAACACAACCTACACAAAAATGAATTCGACCTACCTAATATTTTGAACTTTTGCGACAAAATGGTTAACTCCACTGCGTTAAAAAACCAGTATAATCGTATATGCTAATTTTTTCTTTTCTGAATAACTTCAAGCAATTGTATTTATGTGCCATATTGTTAATCTCCTCCTATATACTGTGCTCAAGTTTGTAGTATTGCTAATTTGTGTTAGGTGAAATGGGCGAGAATGCTATATAGTGATTTCTCAATCTTCACAAGAGATCAAGAACATCTTATCTCAATCAAGGGTCTAGAATATTTGGAGGGTTCTGTCATGATGGACTACACTCCAACAAATAACTGGAGATCTTCCTTTTTCTCACCTGCCCATGAATCCCAAATTAGTTCTCTGTTGAAGAAACATGGCATCGTGTATTGCTTAGACATGGTCAAGTATTACGATGATGAGACCGTCAACTCGGTCGATAAAGTATGTGTGTACACTTGTTTCATAATATTGGACACTAGTCGATCAATTATAGGACTAAATAGTTTTTATATATTTTTTTCTTGTTCTTGCAGGAAGTTGAGATGCTGCAGGAGGGATTGAACTACATTCCTGGTTTTGCTTTCATGAAAGACCAAACCTATGTTGATTTCCTCAATAGAGTTCGACGAGGGGAAATAAACCTAAAATCAAAAGGGTTATGGGACGTTCCTCATCCATGGCTGAACCTCTTTATACCAAAGTCCCGTATCATGGATTTCAATGCTGGTGTTTTTGTAGACATTATTCACAGACAAAAAATGAGCACAGGGCCCCTACTTGTCTACCCAACAACTAAAATAAAGTACTTAATCTTGGACTGACTGAAATGCACTCAAGGCTGCACAAACTTTATATCTCACAAGCATACATGCACATATATCCAGGGATGCAAAACTCATTGACTGCTTTGTTTTTCAATCCGACAAATAAGTATTTCTAGTTCACATGACCTAATCGAAATTTATTACGAAATTGTGCAGATGGGATGATAGGATGTCTGTAGTTACACCAGATGAGGATATCTTCTACTGTGTGGGACTATTGCATTCAAGCAGTCGCAGTGACTGGCAAGATTTGGACAATCAAAACAATGAAATTCTGGAATTCTGTGATAGAGCTGGAATAGAGATGAAGCAGTATCTTCCACATTACAAATCCAAGGAAGATTGGATTAAGCATTTTGGTTCAAAATGGAACACTTTTCAAGAAAGGAAAGCACAGTTTGATCCAAGAATGTTACTGTCACCAGGACAAAAAATTTTCAACGCTGTTTAAATATACAAACACGAATGAATATTAACCATTTGAGTTGCTTAGACAGCAGAACTTTCTGTTCAATAAACTTTAGATAAAAATTATAATAAAGTTTGAGGTACTCCTTCAAATAACTACGAGCTTTTAAGATAAAATCCCAAGCTTTGAAGATAAAATCCTAAAAAATTGGAAGGAGGGATCAATATTTCTAAACATAGAAGGACTAATGAAACCTTAAATATTAATAAATTGTTCACCCTCTTATACCTGTAAATGTTTAATTATCCTGCAATGTGGTTCATTATTGACGGTTTTTGATATATTTTCATAGCAAACCTTAAAACAGTTTGAGAAAGCCCCAAGTCTAAACCAAACTATTTTTAGCAGTTTGACATTTTTTTGAACCTGAACCTAGTGGTTTGATCTGGTTTTAGACCACAATTTCGGAGTATAAATTTTTTTTTCTTGTTCATTTTAATGTTTTCTTTTTTCTTTTAGGCAAAATACCACCAAAGCCTGTGCGTGATTTTTAGGACTACAACTTGACTCCTTGCTGGTGATTAGCTTTCCCAACCCTATTTATTGATTGAAAAGTTTATATCGAAGAAGTATTTGAGAGCATTACCTCCATATTACATTCGTAGGGCATGAATATGTTTTGATATCAATAATTATGAAAGTATTACTTTGATGCTGGGCAGAATAGAGATTATTCTGCAAGTAGGTAGTAACAGGTAATGAATAGAAAAGAGTACAAGAGAAAACGTCCAAGAAAAGAGAAATCTTTATTATTTAATTTCCTCCCTCGAAAATAACCCACAATCTGGGTTATATAGCTAAAGAAATATAAATTATCTCAATTTTACCAAAAATAGCAAAATCTCAATATTCATACCAAAAGATAGTTCATAATAAAAGAAATATTACTGAAAAAAGGCAAACGAAATATTACTGAAAAAACAAAAAATAACTTAAAATTGAAATTTAAAAGAGAAAACAGTGGATTTTGCCCTAAAACGATTCGCACTGAACATAGCTGAGTGGCTACGATGTGCGTACCAAAAAGAGCTTTCTAAATTGGGTCATGAGCGCGATTTCGATAACCGTAGCCAAAGTTATGATCAAATTATCAAAACTCGTCCAAATGTCGCCCAATTAGGAAAAAATTACGCTCACTTGCCATATTTGCGTTGATCTGCTAACTCTTGATATCTTAGCACAATCAACATGTTGTCGACAGCTCAACGTCATTTGAGTCAGATGCTCCTACATCATTCGCCCTGGGTTGGAAAGAACTCGCCCTTGAGTTCGTAACAGCTTCATTAGAACCACAAAACAAGGGCTCAGTTGTTTCACGTTAAAGTCATCAGAAGTCTTTAAATGGCTGGGAAGGCACAATCTATAGGCATTATCATTGATCTTCTACAAAACCTCACGGGGTCCAATCTTCCTCTCCTCAGCTTATTATACTCCCCAATCGAAAAATGATCTCAAACAAAATCATGAAATCAAAAAGGACCTGACGACAGTGGCTATCAGCCCGAGCCTTGTTCTGGGCATTACTCTCGTGAATAGTTAGCTTTACCTATTCATGGATACCTCGAAGATGTTCTGCCATGTCATCTGCATTGGAATTCAAACTCACTCACATGGAATAGGGGCTAAATCAAGCACCTCGGATGAGTTCTGACCATAGACAATCTCAAATTGACTTAAGCCAGTGCCCTGCTCTTCGACCTATTATAGGCAAATTCTACTTGAGGTAATGCCACATCCTACTTCTTTGGCTTAGCACCTGCCAAACACCTCAAAAGGTTACCCAAACTCGAGTTTACCATTCGTCTGGGGGTGATAGGCACTACTAAAATTCAGTTGTATCCCCAATTTTCCCCACAAACTCTTCCAGAAATGACTAATTAATTTTTATTACGATCTGAAGTGATGGAACAAGGAACACCATGTAAATGCGCAATCTCTATGAAGTTAAGGTATGCAATCCGAACAAAATTCATAGTCTTCCTACAAACTATAAAATGGGCCATCTTAGAAAATCGGTCAACCATACGAAGGACAGAATCAGAGGCCCATTAAGTGTGGCACAAACCTAACACAAAGTCCTTGCTAACATCGAACAACAGGGCTTCAAAAACATGTAAGTGTTTATACAGATCCGCATTGGTAAGGACTTCTTTAGACCGTTGGTACACGTAACAACGGTTTACATAATAAGTCACATCTTTAGTCAAATTGGGCCAATAAAAGTCAGAGAAGATAAGGGCTAATGTCTTATCTCGGCCAAAGTACCCCTCATTGTGAAATTCGCTTATAATTTGCTGCCCCAATGAACAATCTGGGATGTACAACTGTAATCTACAAAACATATAATCATTATGTAAAACAAAATCGTGACGGTGACCATCAGTTACTTCCTGAAATATCCTTCCGAAGGAAGGATCAGCTACATACATATTCGGGAAAGTCTCAAAGCCTATAACACTGGTACTAATGGTAGTGAAGAGTATAGTACGACGGCTCAAGGCATCTGCAACGTGGTTTAGGCTCCTTGCTTGATGCCTCAGCGTGAAGATAAACACCTGGAAGTATACTACCCACTTGGGATGCCATCAACTTAATTTGTGTTGGCCATTGATGTACTTCAGGGCGTCATGATTAGTAAACAGAATGAACACTCTCTGCACTAGGTAGTGATGCCAATGCTTGAGGGACTAAACTATGGCATAGAACTCAAGGTCATAGGTAGAATAATTTTTCTTCGATCCTGATGCTTCTCACTGAAAAAAGCAATCGGTCGCCCGACTGACTCAGAGCACTACTAATGCCAAGGCCTGATGCATCACAATTTACCTCGAACCTTTAGTCAAAATCAGGGAGTGCTAACACTGGTGCTTCGGTCTTCTTTTACCTGATGCCCAAAGAATAATGCGATAGTTGTAGTGTAGCTTTGGGTGTCGTATTCATAGGGAGATGGAAAAATATTAAAGGATCAAAAAGGATCGGTTTTCTCACAGATGATAAGAATAGATTTGTTTGTCAAGGAATCGAGATCAATTTTTGAGAATATGGAAATTAAAGTCCATGAATGAGATGGTGAAACGTCGGGATTCTCTCAATCAGATCGG